ATCGATTGGTTTAAAAATGGTGGAACCCGGTCTAAGACTTGGCCCTCCCTCTGTCCCTCATCCCTTAGCCCCTGCACCAAAGGGCAAATGTGTATTCTGTTTGCTGCCAATCTAAACTATGTTGCTAACAGAAAACTGCCTTAGATCGATTCTGCCTTGGCCTTTTTGAATGTCTGTGCCTAGCCTTAATCATGGAAAGAATTCTATGGAAGCCCAAGGGACTACCTTGAGAAGAAACCTGCCTGTAGAGAATGTATGCAGAGAAGGCCTCTGGCTTGATCTAGCTTTCACCGAGGTCAACAATGCAGGACCTAATTCTGTGCGTCTAGTAATTCGTACTGCATTTTTCTAGCACTATCTTTTTTTAGCCTGTATTTTATATTTGAAGCCTTCCCTACTGTTTAATTTGAAATGCTTTTGCTCAGAATTTTTTTTTTAGTAAGACAGTTTCAGCTTCCAGTAGACTAATGTTTATCTACGGCTTAGAAGAAATATCTTATCTCCGCACTCTGGTTTTCATTATAGTCCCAAACTGGTCACTTTCACAACATATAGAGTGCTTTTGTTACCAGTGTGCTCCTGGTCCTACACTTTATAGTCAGGTAAAACTTGCAGTGATGTCAAACTTCATTGAAAATTTTGTCTAAATAGACAATTCATGTTTGAATCCTGTGAGTTCACATTTCATTTGGCATACTACAAGGCTGCATAGTAGGAGGGAAAAATTTAATATGCTTGCTTGCTAAGATAGTAAGACTAGTGTAGGTAGAAAGCCAGCAGTCTAAAATTACTTTGCTAAATTTAAATGTCAGTAAAAAGTAGGTAACAGAAAAAAATTAAAGGGTATATCTAAATATGGAGCTGCGGACATAATCTGTTATATTTAAACTGCATTTTAACTTATTCTATTTATATATAGTGGTATGTGTATAATCTGGACAGCTTGATTGAGTATAAGAAACAGTTATTTAACAATGAAAACGTAGGGATATATTCTTCTCTAGATGCAATATGTGCATGGATAGTACTGATTCACATATAGGTATATTTTATTTGTGAGGACACAAGTCAGGATTTTTTCATGTTGACTGAGAACTAAAATGATATTTGATCTAGAATAAACACAAGTGGATTTACAAAAGGTCTGATTCCCACGCTTATATTTGTGACAAAACTGTCATTAACTTGAATGGAAATAATTGCCTGCATAGAGCATGGGGTTGTGCCCTAACAATCCCTTTATCAAAGTTGCAGTGTTACAACATGCTCTGTGCCAGTGCTTTTTTAATTAAAAAAATTCTGAAGGGAAAAAGATTGTTCTTGCATGCTGCTTGCATCAGACAAAATCCCTTCTTGGAACAACTTTCTTCCAGTAGGAGAAACTTACTCCAAAATAAAACACACTTTTTTTTGGAGAAGATAATTAATATTTATATGATGTGTTATCAAATAGACGGCAATAAGCATATGTTCTCATTTTATCTGGAGATGCAGAGTACACTGCTGCAGAGCAGTTTAAAAATAAAACCCTGATCTTATAATCAGTTTTATATGAGGAGTCCCATGGAACTCCGTGGGACTACTCACTTGTGTGAGGGTACTTTTGTGCAAGTGGTTGTAGGACTGGGCCTTATGTTTTGCATTAAGGAGTCCAAGGTAGAAGATCTAATTTATCATGTGTCCATCAGCTGGAATTTAGATATTTGTTAAAGTATTCTGTAAGTAGCAGTCCTTCCAGTACTTTCTGCCGTGTTTCTATTTATGCTTTTAATATATAGCAACCACTAAATTATTCACATGTTCTGAGATTATGTCATAGCATTTAAAGAAATTAAATTTTTACCTTTCTTAAAAGGTCAAGTTTTAGAAATGAGCATTATCACTGAGTCACATTGCACTTGGGACCTTCTTCAGAATCTATTCCTTAGTCCAAAACTTTCAATTATAGGTGCCTAGAGTTGTTCACATCTATAAGTAGGCATTGAAATAAGGGATCTGCTGTTTCAGAGTGATGACTACACAGCATTCCCAAGAATCAGATCATTTTAATATATGCCTAATTGTGGATTTAACCCTCTGACTTGGGAGTTTGGGGGTTTCCACAATGGCATGAAAACAATGTTTTTTTCCTTGACAGGCTGGAATAGGAGAGGCTGTTCAGATGAACTTTTTAAAGACTTCAGGGGTGACCTCCTTTGAGAGCACTAGGGCAAGAATTTGTAGGTGGAACCACAGAGTGGCAGGGCATATCCAGTAGGTCAGAGAATAATACCCTGTCTCCTAGCCCACAACCTAATTTACAATAAGGGAATGCACAAGGACACAGTCACAGGAGAGCAAAGAGGCTGGGCTGTGATAGCAGCTGCAACTATGTGCAGATGCTATACTAGGTTAGAAATACATTTCTATTCCATGCTTGCCCCACTGTATATCCCCTGCACAATAATTTTTTACTCCTAGCTTTGCACTGAACACCATGAATTGGCCATAATTGTTCAGAGTTCTAAGGCTTTGTGCAATTATCTATTGCTAATTATATTATAATAATGTTATGATACTACTGAGGTCAGGGCCCCATTTTCCTATTCATTGAGCTTACACAGAATACAATTTAATAGATAATTTTCTCTCTTCTAAATGATGAATCTTAGAGATTAAGTTAAACTAATCACAGCATTTTTCTGGCTTTACTCTTTTACTGTATGTTGGCAATTTTATGATCTTTTGCTCCTTAAAAGTAGATAGGTGCAGTATCCTAAAAGTTTTTCAAATCAAAACAGATCTTTTAACTGTGCATTTTCTTAAATCTACAAGTTTCAGTGCATTCCATGAATAAATGTAATTATTTTAATGCAATTAAATGGCTGCAAGAGAATTGTAAGTTTAATGACAAATATACCATATCTTTTTAATAAACTATGTTCTATATAAAAGTGAGAATACATATGAAAACAGGTATCCCTTGATTTATGCGGGTTCTTTATATGCGAATTCGCTCTTATGTAGAGCCATAATTCATTATATGTGAGGTAGATTCGCTCTTATGCAATCAGCATAGACACCCCCCCCCCCCAAGCAGGTAAGTGTGTGGGGGGAGGGGAAAGGGCCATGGCCCCATTCACCCCAGCGGCTGCAGCGGCTCTGGGAGTGGCTGGCGCCAGCTGCCTGCAGCCACTGGGCTACACCATGTTTTGCCTCTCCCCCTGCACCTGGGCTCCACTTGTCCCCACTCACCTCTGCTCCTGGGCTATGCCGTGCCCTGGTGCAGGCAGCTGGCATCAGCCATTCCAAGGGCTGCTGCAGCAGGAGCTGGGGTGAGTGGGGACAGGCAGAACCCTGGCGGGTTTGGAGCACAGTGCAGTCCAGCAGCTACAAGCAGCTGGTGTCGGCCAATCCCGGGGCTGTTGCAGTAGGGACTGGGGTGAGTGCCGCCACCCAGGGCTCTGTTTGCCTGCACTCACCCCAGCCCATGCTGGAGTGGCCCCAGGAGCATGGCGCAGCCCAGGAGCAGAGGTGAGTAGGGACAGGCGGAACCCAGGGGTGGGGGGACAGGTGGAGCATGGTGCAGCCCAGCAGCTTGTGCTGGCTGCTTCCGGGGCCACTGCAGCCAGGGCTGGGGTGAGTGCTGCACCCTGCGCTGCCCAGAGCTCCGCTTGTCCACACTCATCCCAGCGCATGGTGGAGCGGCCCCGTGAGCAGCCAACACCAGCTGCCTGCACCAGGGCACAGTGCAACCCAGGAGCAGAGGTGAGTGGGGACAGGCAGAGCCCAGGTGTGGGGAACAGGCAGAGCATGGTGCAGCCCAGCGACTGCAGGCAGCTGGTGCTGGCCAGTCCTAGGGCCACTGCAGCCGGGTCTGGGATGAGTGCAGCTCTGTTCCCTCTGCTCTGCTGCCTTGTTCAGCCCTGGGAGTGGCACCCCTCCCCCCACCCTTTTCCTAGTCCCAGCCTCACTCTCTCCCTCCCTCCCTTACCGCCATGAGAACCTATCCCTATTTGTTACATTGAAAGTGGGTTTTCTTTATGCAAATTCGATTTATGCACTATTCTCTGGGAACCATGTACTGTATAAATCAAGGGAAACCTGTATGCCAGTCATCCAAACTCCTGTTAGACAACCAAAATACAGCACCATTGCTTTTCCTTTTTTAATTTTTACATACCTTATTAGAAAATTGTATCTATAAGGAAAGAAATTAGTGGATATGTAGAAGCAAAATCTTTTAATTTAAATTCAGGTCTAAGGGAACTTTGTCAATTCTGAATAGCAGACATAAACTTTGTGATTTAGAATTCTGTTTATGAAATAGACTATTCTGTGGAATTCACAAATTATTCATTGAGGATTTATGGCATTACTTTAAAATAATGATACATATTTTATTACAACATATACTGAAATTGGACTTTGGACTTCAGTCTGATATACAAAGAAGCAGAAATAATTTGCAAGATTCTTATAGGAATATGTATGATCAAATTAAGCCACGATTTCTCAAAAAGAACTTTCACTGTCATGTTTTTTTCTGTGATTGTGGTTGATAGTTCAAAACTTCATAGAGTTGTTAGAACAAATTTGTTCTACTGACGTTAGAAGAAAATTTTGAAATACACAGTGGATTTTTTTTTTTTTAAACAGTCGTCTAATTCTGCCTTAGTTTACTTCCCATGTATACTTAGCACTTCTGTTAGGTTTTTCCCTGGATGAAAACAGGGAATTTTTTTAAATGGCCTTGAAGAGATTTCTGGTATTTTTACATTTTATAACAAACAACCCACAGTGTGCTCTGCATCTCTTGCAAACAAGACAAGCTAAATCACTTGCCACCCATGCATATGTCAATGTCCTGAAATTACAAGAAACAAATCTAACTAGAGATAATTAAGGCCCCCCTTCAACAAAGCAATTTACTGTGTGATGAAAATAAGTGGTTTTCCAAGTCAGATCCTAAGATCTTGATTCTTCTATCTTTACTCAGGCAACTTCACATTGACTCAATAGGAGTATTGCTGGAATGCGAATGTTAGAATTGTTTCCTTAAGGACTGATCCAAATCCACTGAAGTCAATGGAAAAATCCCCAATTGATGGAAGTAGGTTCTGGATCCAGGCCTAGGATGCCAGTGGCTGCTTCAGGTAGATTTAACAAAAAGCATTTTATGATAAAAAGATCAACTGAAAGTTTTACATCTAAATGATTTAGTGATGTCATATTGTTCATTTAATGTTTTCCTTTTAAGGTTGACAGAGTGTTTTTATTAATGTGTAGTGATCGTGTTAATACAGATAACTTTCAAGCCATTTTGTTTTGGGTGACCATCACTGCTTAGAAATACATGCACACTATCAAAGCAGCAATAATGGTTCATTTGAGCAGATGCTAAACCCACAAACTGTTTCTCTGCAGTGCTTTCACTAAGAAAAGAAGAAGAAACAGCCATTTTATGCTTTCTGCTGAAATATTTATTTGAACTTCAGTAGAAAAATATGACATTTGAAAATATTAACCAAAAATGATTTTTTCGGGGTTAAAACAATATTAAAACTAAATAAACTGGTGTACACTGCACTTCTTCTAGTAAGATTCTTTTCTGTTTGTAAGGGAAAAAACATGCCTTAAAAATATGAATTTGAGTTTTAAAAATGTTCAAATGTTGACATGTTATATACAGCAAGTGAATTTCACCCACTTTGTAAAATACCCAAGTATGGTGTATGCACCTCTTAAATTTCTCAAATTCCATTTAAACTGTCATAATAAGCTGTGTATAAGATCTGTGCTGGTCTCTGCTGTGGGTTCATGTGAGTTTTTCAAGGCTAGGGACAGACACTACACACAAACTGGTTTAAATGATCAGAAACTGGTTTAAACCTGTAACAGAGCTTAAGTTCAGCACACATAAACCAGTTTCAGAATGGCTGAAACTGTTTTAAGATAAACCTGGTTGAATGTAGTATCAGACTTAACTGATTTGGGTCAAACCAGTTTATGCAATGTCTGCCTCAGACCCCTTCCTGGTTTAACTTAAACCAGAGTCCCCCCATATCCCAGATGCTTTGTGGCCCTGGGCTGGGCTGGGCTGGGCTGAGCTGTCTGCTCCAGAGAACAGGGCTAGCCCTGCCCCTCTACTCCTTAGCCAGAGCTCTGGTGGAGACTGCAGGCACAGCAGGGTTTGCTTGGCTTCCCCCTGTCCCCCACCCTGCCCCCCCATGCCATTTGCTGCTCAAGCAGGGATCCCTTCTCCCCCCTCCTTCCCATCTCTCACAGCACGGACCCCAGCCCCATGGGCCTTAGGCATGCCGGCTAATGCTGAGAGGTGCACGTATATGTCTCCAGTTTCAGTACTACAGGACAAAGGCAGACAGGACGATGTCCCCTTAGGGCTTTTTGAAGCTAATAAACAGGTCAGCTGGTAATGTCCCTTCTTTCCTTCCTTAGAAAAAGATGTTTAAGAAGACCTTGAACTAATGATAGAGGCTTTTGTTTTGTTGATGGGCTAATAAACACTGTGTTATCAGCCCCCTGCTAGCTGCCTCCCGTCAGGTTTGCTGCAGACAATATGAAGAAGCAGGGACAGGGATATTGAAAATCTCAGTATCATCAACAGATGTGTGCACTTCACACCCTGCCTTTGCCTCATAGTGTTAGCCCTGGGCTGGGGTCTGATAACACTCCTGCCCCTTGAGCAACAAGCGGGGAATAGCCTGGGACTGTGCAGGCAGGGTAGGTGTTTAAACCTCTCCCTAATCAGAGCGTCCTGCCAGGGCCTGGCCATACCCCACATCAGCTCAGGACTATGGAAGGGAAGGGAGAGCTTCTCTACCACTCCCCGGCTTCTAGCCTAAGCCATTGTAGGCATGTGCCTGCATTTCCTCAGTCCAGAAGGAATGTCTGTGCACCTGCAAACCAGTTCAACCTAGGCAGGTTAGACTAACCTGCAAAGATTGAATCAATACAGGCTCAGGCTTTTTGAATGTCTGTCCCTAGCCCAAGTGCTAAGCTACCCCATTAGATGCAGTTTATCTCTGATATTAGAGTTCTACTTTCAAAAGCCACACTGCAGGGCTACAAATAGATGGTGCATTTGTCTTGAGATAAACCATTTTATCTGAGCAGTTGTTCAGCTGTCCATTGTCCTGGGATAAATCCTAAAAAAGGTTCATGAGATAAGTGCATCTGAAAGAAAAGTAGTAGTGCATTCAGCTGCTCACTAAACCCTGATTTGAAGGGTGATGTGTACACACCCATCCTGGGATATTTCTCTTTCAGAACAAACACAGGCACAACTTTTCCAGGGACAAAGGCAATGTCTTCTTAGCCTCTGAGCAACCATGTTTGCTACATGTTAGTGACTTCTATGACAGTTGACAGGCAACAAAGAAGCAGGTTTAGCTAACTGAAAACTTTGCAAGCCTAACCTGGTATTCAGAGGCAAACAGTGTTCCTTTTGGCTCATACAACATCACTAGTCATAAAGATTCTGCAGCTACAACTTAGTCAGAAAGCCTCTTGACATCCTGTGACCCAGAATAGAATTCATCTAATTCTCTCATTGCTGGGTTGGTTCTGCAGGACTAAAGAGGAGTGAAAAGTAGTAAAAATCTATTTCAGTCACTAAAGCAAGCAGACATGACTCAGAACCCAGGGAACAGAGGTATTGAGTAAAAAGGTACCATTTCTCTGACCATATCGCCCTTTAAACTCTTACTAAAATAGCATACATGCTCTGGCACTTCTCTTGGAAACCTGAAATGTGAGTAAGAGAGAGGGTGTTTTGCTGTATTTCAACATCTACTTCAAACTAGACAAATTCATTGTGATGCAGAAACACTGAAAAAAACCAGTTGAACTCATTGCAAAGGGGACTTTTGTTGGATAAATCTGAGGTGCGGGAGAGGACAGCGTGACTCCTATTTCCGTTAGGTCTTTAGGTTAATGATAAGATGAATTCTTGATGACTGTCAGCTACTATAGTAAATTTAAATCCCCCAGTTTCTCTTGGAAAGAATAATGTAATTGTAAATCCTAAATTAGGCTGAAGTGTAGTAGTAAGGCTCCTTTGATCATTCACTAGATGCTACTCTTAGATTGTGCAAAGTGAGTGGTCTAAGCTAAAAATGAATCTGAAACCACATTGACGTAAGCCATATGTGTTTATGATCTTTGAGGAAACAAATCATCACTGGCAACCAAAACCCTGAAGTGGTAATGTTGATATTCAAGTGAGATTAAAATATTCAATGCTTCTGTGCACCTATGGCATAATCCGACTCCCACTGGAATTAATTAAACAACACTATTTTACACCAGCTCAGAATTTGACCCAGTAAGCTATCAGAAGAAGCTGAATATTTATCATTTTCCATGTAATAAGTGACCAGGTAAAAGAAGCAAATTCCATTTCCTGCTCCATCTACATTAGAGCACATTTCTGAGCTCTAGTCTTGAGTTTTAAAGGGGTAAATTGGAAGCCTGAGAATCCCCACTGGCCCATGACAACTCAGTCCCACTATAACCCTGTGGGGGACTTGTAATTGAGAATATTTTCTATTGGGCCAGTAATCCTATCAAAAAGCAAGAAATCTATTTAAAGATTCACTCCATAATCAACGTTTTCAGTTGGTTTTAAATTAAAAAAAATACAGCAAAGTCCCTAGGTTTCTCTATTTAGAAGTAACCCAGGGAAGAGTTCAGAAATGAATGGTTCACACTGGGCACATCTATACAAGATGCTTTACTGCGCATTAGACTAGTTTGCAGTAAAGCATCACTGTCTGCATGTGCATGGGACTTACTGCATAGTAAATCAGGCTAATGCATGGTTTGCTAGTACAGGAATCCACAGCATACATACAGGCTGGGGAGTTCCCTTCTTGAAAGCACAGAGGCGGAAAGGGATCTCGGAGTCATTACTGACTCCAAGATGAACATGAGCCGCCAATGCCAG